TATACTGTTCCCTTATATTCATGTATACTGTTCCCTTATAGTCATGTGTACTGTTCCCTTATATTAAATGTATACTGTTCCCTTATATCCATGTATACTATTCCCTTATATTCAAGTATACTGTTCCCTTAGATTCATGTATATTACTCCTATATATCTATGTATAGCAGTGAACTCATCAAACTTCCTTCTTCATCCCCCAAAAAATAACCCAAAAGCATAATCAAATTTCCCATGTCACCTGCCCAAAAATATAAACTGAATGGAATCAAATTTCCCTCCTCACCTTCCTGAAATATGCCTGTGAATTCATCCAACTTCTTTCTTCATCCTCCTAAAAATATATCCATGAACAGAATCAAACTTCCTGTCACCTTCCCAAAAATGTAACCTAAATTTAATTTGAAGAAAGCAGTCTTCTGGGATTTGGCACCGTGTATATGTGGTATTAANGGTTAACACCACATATACACGGTGCCAAATCCCAGAAGACTGCTTTCTTCATAGTCACCGCCGTGAAAGCCTCAAATCTTACATAAATTTAATTTAATTTCCCTTCTCACCTTCCTAAAAATATATTGAGTGAAATTGAATTGACCTCCCATTACTTGCCCCAAAACTTCCCTCCTGTGAATGGAATCGAATTTCCCATCTCCCGTCCTTTGTTTCAGGTCATGTTCAGTCATGACACACACATTATTGCTAAGACTGGCAGGCCTGACATATCGATTCTCAGTGATGTGTGCGCTTCAGTACACACAACTGCACCACAATGCAATTATCATGCTTGACTTGAAAGACATACCCTTTGTTATGCACGCTACATAGTTGGTGTAATTAGTTTCGAAAGTTAACTCCATGAACTTGTAATACGGAGCAGCTCATTTGTCCTGTCAAGGCCATTAACTTCCTGCTGTCCTGCCATTCCTGTAAAGCCTTCCTCTCATCAAAGGCATTCTGAGTTAAGCAAGTACTACACATTTTTATTTACAGGAGTGGTGTATATCAGTATCATATTGTGTGTGTACAACTTATTATTGTCTCTGTCACCACAATTCGTGTATAAATTTCTTATGTTTCTGCTCTTTATAGCCATCATCAGGTAAAATATTTATACTCTCTACTTTTCTGCCACTTTCCCTTGCATTGGTCAATGTTTACATGAGGGGGAGGTCGTGTGTGCTATTTGCCAACGTTAACGCCAACCTGTAAACTATAAGCAAGATATTAAAATAAAAATTTATTAAATTTATCTTATTAAATATTGCTGACTTCTTGATCACCGCATAAGTGTTTTCTTCAATGCCAGCGTATAAAATTACATCCTGAAATATTAAAATATTAAATTTTGTTGTTGTAATTGGTGTTAATGAAATGGTATTATTTTTCTGATAGAGCTGGTCTTCTCTTGCATACTTTGCGTGTTTTTTTCTTGTATGTTGATCTTGTTGTGGAAGGTGTTACACCAGGCTCATTTGCTGTCTAGAAATGGTTTATCACAAGAATACTCAGCCTCTATGAAGGAGCCAGATTCATAAGCTCTGTGTCCATCTGTTAGAGACATCGCTATTGTGGGTACATTTTTGGCATTAACATCATGCCATTGGATGATAATGAATTGGAGAATATATCGAAGGAAATGCTTGTGACCAAATAGAATAATATGTCTCAATGTTTGCCTGGATGGA